ATTATAATAAAATGTTTTGAAAAAATAGAATGTAATTTTATTATTAAATTGTAATAATAATTATATATAATTTTATAAAAAATATAATTTATATAAAAATATAGTTATTATATTTATAATAAAAAAATAATGTTAAAGTATTTAAATTAGAAATAAAAGAAATGAAAATAATAATAAAAGATTAGTTTTGAAAAAAAAAAATTTATTAATAAAAATAAATTAATTAAAAATAATTAAAAATTAAAAAATTTAATAAAAAAAAATATTATTTTAAAAATATAAATAAATTATAATAAAATAAAAAAAATATATATATATAATAAAATATATGATATATAAATATATATTTATTATATTTTATTTTTATTATATAAATTTTATAAATTGAAATAATATAAATTTATATATATATATTTAAATATTAAATTAATTTTTTTATATTATATATAATAAATATATTACATATAAATTAATCAAATTTAAATTGTTTAAATTAAATAATACTTTATATTATTTAATTAAAATTATTTACATAAATTAAAATAAATTATATATTATTATTTTATTTATTTTTAAATAAAATATTTCTTTTTTATTTAAATCTGTATATTTTATATATTTATATAACTATTTTTCTTTTTTTTTTTTTATTCTCAATTAAATAAAAATTTATAACTATAATTTTTTTATTTATATTTTTTATAAAAATACATATTTAATTAATTATCAAGAATTAAAAAAAATAATAAATATATGTTTGCATTTATATTATTAATTTTTATTTTCATTATGGCTTGTGTTATCCATTAGTTGGAATAAATTTCTTTAATGTGTTTATCCATTCATTTTTATTTTTTAATTAATTTTAGCTTTAAGATTATTGTAGATTTTAATTACTATTTTTAATTTAATAATAGCTTTTAGATTTATATTCTATTTCATCGTCGTTTCCACATGTTTTTATTTTATTACTTTAAAACATTTTTTATTCATTATCATCAGGTAAAGTTTTTAACTATATACTATTACTAATATTTTTTGTGTTATTTATTTTAGTGAATTTATTTTCTATTTTTAAACATTTAATTTAATAATCTTATAATTTATCATCAGTTTAAGAAAGAAGTTTCATCAATCTTTCAATTTCTTATGAATATGCATCTAATTATTAATAAATAAAAAATATATTTTTTTATGTATTTACTTATTTTATTTTCCAAACATTTTTCATTTTCTTAACTTTATTGTATTTTTTATAAAAGTTAATTTTCTTTATCATTAGAATTTTTTAATTCTTTCTTAAGTTTTTCTATTTCATTATTTTATTAATTTATACTTTACTCATTTATTTTATAATTTATCTAATATTATTTTAAATCTTCAATGACCTTATTTTATTCTTGAACTATAAATTTTAATTCTTAAACATTTTCACCATTAATATTCACATCCTCAAATTCAGAAATTACCTAGCTTATATCTTAATTAGCAAAGTCCATATTTTCCCTCTCTACTATTATTTATTCCATTTAATTATTTTGATTTTCAAGTTATTATACTATAGATTTCCAATATTATATTTCTTCATCTTTTGCTTAAAATATTTATGCTAACATGTTTGTACCTTTTTCAATATCTTCTATTTTAAATTAATGAGGTTAAGAAGAATAAATACGAGATGGTTAATAATCTTTTTATTATTTATTAGGAAGGGAAGGATTTTAAATAGTTTGTGATGTGTTTTAGGTTTATTTTTATTAAGATCGGGTAGCTTTTTTTTTTTATGAAGATTTACCTTAAGATTTCATTTTTTTAAATTTTTTTTTTTATTATTTTTTTTTCGTTTTAAAAGTATAATGAATATATTTATATTTGAATAAATTATTTTTTTTAACTATTTTATATAAATTTAACCTATTTTTACTTTCTAAAACATATAATAAAAATAAGTTAAGTTTTTTTTTTATATTTTTCTAATAATTTTTTTTTAGTAAAAAAAAAAACAACTCAATATTTATTAAAAAAAAGCCTATAATATCTTTACCCCCCCATATTAATTATAATATGGTAAAGTAAGAAGAATCTCAACCTTAGGTGACGTAATATAATAATATAAAAATCACTTATTAATGAAATTTAAATTAAATAAACAAAATACCGTACATATCCTGGCAAAAATCTTTTTGTATTATACTATTCAATTTATTATAAGTTTAAATCCAAAAAATAAAATTAAAAATCATCAATATAGCTTGAGCTGAAACATAATAACTTGTATAGTTTTCAACTTCCCCCCTTTTTTTATAATAATATGTAGCTAAGAGAACATAATAATACTTCCCAAACAAATTAAAATTTCCAAAAAAATCACGATAAAATTTAGAGTTTAAATTCGGTTGAAAAATAAAGTCCAAAAAAAAAAAGGTCTTCTAAAATAATATATATATATATATATATATCTATATCCAAATTATAAATAAACTAATACATATAATACGAAATATATATAATCACTAATAAAAATTAAAAAGTAAAAAAAATTATTTCTTCTATTTATTTTATCACCTGAAGAATCTTAAGTAAGATATTGATAATTTGTTAAAATCAAATTTAAATTAGAAAATATATAGAGAATATGCTATTAAAGAATATTTTACGATATTCAATTTATTTAGAGAAAACTCCCCAATCTTACTAATAATAAAAGAAAGCCGAATGTTAGTATAAAATTAAAATCGCCACTACTATAAAATAAAAATAAGAAAAATATTACTATGAAATTCACATAAACTTAATTATAGTCTTTTTTATATATATTATATTTTATTGACTATTATTTTTTACAAGAGTCATTTATTTTATCTTTAAATTAACATTAGTTAAATAATGTAATGAATAATTAATTTTTTTATATATAAATATATGATATTATTTTAAGTTAATTTTTTTTTAGATATATACTTTAAAAATAAAATATATGTATTTTATATAGAGAAAAATATAACATATATAATAAAATTATTATTATTATTTAAATTTAAAACAAAAATTAATTATACATAATTAATAAAACAAAAATAATAACTATAGAAATTAATATATATAGGATAATTTTTATTATTATTAATTATTGATATATTATATTTAGAAATATTAATAAAATGCGAAAAATAGCATAATAATAATTTTCACAGTCTTTTTTAATAGTATATATTATTTTTTATAATATCATGTCAATTTTCTACAATTAAATTTTTTATTAAATTTTGGTATTTCAAATATTTAGAAGCAATCCATATATGATAAATCTTTAATAATTAAAAGAACGAGATAGAATATATAAAAAATAGTTAATAATTTAAAACTAAGTTAGCCCTAATAATTATCTATTAAAAATGATTATATATTACCTTTAATTTAATATAAACTACCAAAATAATAATAAAGACATTTAACTAAAGAAATTATTAAAAAAAATACATGAAAAGCTTTTAATTATAGAAGATTGAAATAAAATAAAATATGAATTACTTAAGAAGATGAATGAGTACATATTAAAATTAAAAAAAATACTGAATAAATAAAAAAGTACTCTTAAAAGATAAAAAAGAACAAAAAAAGTTATAAAATACTAAAAGATACAATTAAATTAATAATTAAACTTAATAATAATTTAATTAGGAAAGAAAGCATTTAATAGTATTTTCTTATATTGAAAAAAAAATATATATAAATTAATTTTTTCTAAATATTATAATGAGTAAAATAAGAAAAATTATAATAGAAAAAAAATATATTCAATAAAAGATGTTTTCTTAACGAAATTTATGTTGTAAAATTAAATAAAATTATAATAAAAAAGATAATATTATTAATATTTTGAAATAAAATAATAATCAAATTAGCTGAAAACAAATATATTAACTAAAATAAAAAAAAATTGTAATGTATCTGCAGATTTAGAAAATAAAAAAAATTAATTTTTTTTAAAAATATAATAATTTTTTTAAGGGTCAGTTTGATTTATTTTTAACATTTTTTTTTAAATAAAGATAAAAATAAAAGAAAAATATTTAATTTTAAGATAATAATAATTTACAAATTTGATAAAAAAAATATCTTAAATTATTAAGCTAATTATGGATTAATATATTATATATAATAAATCTTTAAATAAATAGAATAATATGTAATAATCTTGTTAGTTTAATGTAATAAGGAAATATATTTTTAAATAAATAAATAAATAATTAAAATTATGATTTAATGAATATAATAATTCAAAACATTGTAAAATATTTAAAAAATGATTAAGCTTAAAAAAATAAAAATATATAGATATTTTATATAATAACATAAATCTTTAAGAAAACTTAAATCAATATTTAATAATAAAATATATAATTAATATCTTTTTAAAAATAAAAGATATTATAAAATGCAATAAAAAAGAAAAACATAATAAAAATATATTGTAAAATTTATATTTTATTTAAAAAATAGAATTATAATTTTTATTTTTATTTTATTTTATTTTAAAAAAAAATAAGTTGAAAGAAAATCATTTATGAATTTTTCTTTATATTTGTTCATTTTCTATCTTTAAAAAATTATTTACTAAATCTAATTTTTGTTTTGCAATAAATAAAATAAAAATAAAAATATAGTATTAAATTTTATATACTATTCAGAATTTGGAGATCTTTATAGTTATTATTTTTAGAAATTTTATGTATAAGTTTATCCGTTTAAAGAAGGTTTTACATTAATACAACTTTAAGAAGTATTAGGTAAAACTAAGCTTTTTATTTATTAAGAGCATGCTTATTTATTAATGAAATTTCCAGTATTTAGATTTTGTAAATATTTTTGATTTTGATTTTCTTGTTTTCTTTTAAAAATTTAACTTTCATTTTTAATATTTTCAAATTATAAATTTTATTATATTTAATCCTATTCTTGTAAATTTTAATTTTAATCATAATTATCAAATTAGGAAATCATACTTTTACTTCTTAAATACTAATTTTATTAAAAATATTTATTTACATAATATATTTAAAATACTTTTAAATCATTATTTTGCCATGCTTATAGACAATTAGAAGGAGATTAATTATTTATAATTTTTTCTATTTAATATTTATTATTATTAATTTCAAAATTTTCTTTTTCTAAATTATGATTAATATTATTATTATAATATTATTGCTGTTACTATTATTATTATTATTATTATACTATTATTATTATTGTTATTATTATTATTAATATTAATAATAATTAATATTATCTGTGTTGTTTTTTTTTATTATATTACTTTAACTCATTTTGTTTTATATTGGAATATTTTATTCTATTTTTAAAAAGTTTTTAAATATTCTAGAATTTCTTATTATTTCAATTTTTTATAAATCTCTCATATACTATTAAAGTTATATTTTTTTATTTCTTTCTTATTATTTTAAAAATCTTAATTTATTATTACTAAACAACTATCCGGAAATTTAATTCCTTATAAATTTATATTTAATAAATTATGTAAATCGCAAAAATCCTTTTTTATTAATATGAATAAAAAAATTAATATATATTTGATTATATATATATATTTATTTATATATATATTTATAAATTTATATTATATATATTTTTATATATTTTTAAATATATATATTTGTATATTTATATATATATATATTTATATTTTTTTCTTTATATTTACATTTATATATTCTAATATCTATATATATTTTTAATATATAAATTTAAATAATTTATACATTTATATATTTTAATTTTTATTCATACATAATACATATATATTTATTTATATTTTTAATATTATAACTATTTATATTATTTACTTTAAATTTATAAGTAAGTTGCCAATATACACTATTTTAAAAATTTAACATAACATAGTAATCTTATTAATTATTGGAATTTATGCATATATTTAATTAATTTTAATCTATGTTAATATTGTTCTAATTATATTATTAATTAATAAATTATGAAGAAGTTAAGCTTGTTTAATTCAATATTTATGATTAATAAACAGATTAGTTTTATAAATTATTATTTTTAATATAACTTAATTATTCCATTTAATTTTTTATTTATAAATTGTTATTATAATTTTTATTATCTTCAAAATAATTATTATTATTATTGCTATTATTAGTATTATTATTATTATTATTATTATTATTATTATTATTTATATTAGAATTATTTTATTATGAACAATTAAATAAATGTTATATGAATTATCTTTAAGCAATAAATTTTGAGCAATTAATACATTACAAAGATGTACAATTTTTAAATATTTTCTTATATTATTTTAACTTAATGATTTTCTCATCTTAAATGCTACATCTTTATTCTAATTTATCCATAGCAGCACTTAAATTTTTATTAGTTTCTACTAATTCATTAGTGTTTTCACCTTCATCTTTATTTAAACCTTCTATATAAAAATTAAAATATAAAATAAAATATATATATGTATAAATATAAATAAATGTATATATAAATATAAATATAAATATAAATATAAATATAAATATAAATATAAATATAAATATAAATAAAATATAATTATTTTATCCTTTAGTTAATTAAATATTATTTACACTTATATTTTATTTTATAAAAATTTTACGCTATAAAGCTAATAACAAAGCATCATGAAGTCTTTTATTTTCATCAAGTTAATTTTACAAGAAATTAATTTAATTTTCTAAATATTATTTTTCAACAATGAATTCACTTTACATTTTCTAAATATCTATATTTTATTTTTAATTATTAGAAAGTTCCTTAATTTTCATTTATAACTAATTTTTTATATTTTCAATTTCTATTTTTTTTTCATTTTCTAGATTTTATATTTAATTTTATAAAATAATCATATTTTATTATTATTAAAAGTTTATTTTTTATTCATTTTATTATTAAAAGTTTATTTTTTCTATTTAATTTTATAAATTTTCATTTTCTTTTTGCAAAAATTTATTTTCTTATTAAAACAAAGCATTTTATTTTTCACTTTTAGACAAATTATTCTAATATTCTAATTTAGACTCTTCTAATTTTCTTAATAAATTATTAAATTCATCCTCATTTATTGATTTTTATTAATTTTCAATCATTTTTAATGACAATTATTCGTAATTTTTCTCATATTTATCCCTTTCATTTTATAGTCTTTAAACTTTTTCTTTGAGGTAATTTTCATTTGCCTAAAATTAAGATTTTTCTTTTTCAAGTTCATATATTTTGGCCTCAAGTCTTTTTTTTTCTTCGTTCCATAGATTTTCTTTTTTTTTATTTTCCCCTTCATTAATCTCTTTCATTGATTCGAAAACTTTTTTTTCTTTTTCGAAGTTTCTTTATTATTTTAAAGCTACTTTTTCAGCTGCTAACTTATAAATATTTTCGCTAATTTTGGTTAAATATTCCTAATGTTCTTTCCCGAAATTTTTTTCAAAATTTTACTTAAATTAATTATATTCATTTTAAAATTAATAAAAATTCTCGAATTACTCATTATGTAATTTCGTTTCTAATTCTGATATTAATTTATTACATATTTCATTCATTTTTTACTTTTTATAAAAAGAAAATATTTAACATAAATATATATATATATATATATATATATGTATATATATATATATATATCTTTACTTCTTATTTTTCTTTAACATTATTTTTAAACCCTTTAAATTTTTCCTAAAATTCACATTCTAACATATCAAAATATTCCTAAATTTCATCTTATCCAGCTATACTTTTTTATTTAAATTTTTTAAAGACCTCTTCCTTCATTTTATTTTATAATTTATTAATTTATTCCTGACTATATCCCATAATCTAATCTTAATTCCTAAATAAACTGTCTAATTATTACTAAACTTCATTCAAACAAATATCTTTTGCTTTAATACTCTCACTTTTACACATATAATTCCATGCACTTTCAATATTAGGTACTCCCCCTTTATTAATAGCCTAAATATATGCTTTACATATCTCCACGAGCTGAAATCCGTTCAAATGTTTCCCGTTTAACATTTTCGGTTTTATTTTTTTAAAGATTCTTTACCTTAATTATCCTATTTATTCCACAAACTCGGGTCTTAAATCCTCATTTTACATTTCGTTTAATTTCTAAAGTTCAGCTTCAGATTCTACTGGCCTAATAAGTGTATAACAATCTCTATCTTTGAAAAAATGTTTTAATTATCGCCTTATTTTGTTCTTTTATTCGATATTATCAGATATACCTTTCTATTACTCTAATGCTTTTTCCAAATAATCCTTCGCACTGATTTTTTAACCTTGCAAATCTTTCATTTACAAAGCGAAATCTCTCAATACCCACATAAAAGAAGGAAAATAATCAGCTGAATCGCCATCATTTACCCCCGGTTTTATATCTTTCGCTAAATTTATGATCAACGATATATTATTAAGGGCATTTTCATCTATATTTCCTTAAGAATTATATATAAAATAAGACGAAAGTAGTAATGAAAATAAAAATATTCGAGAATCATGATTTGTATTTTCATCCATTCCACCAAATCCTTCAGTATCAATTAAAATAATGTCTGTATCTTCATTTGAATCTGGACTTTTTAAACATTCTTTCCATATCCATAAACCCTTATATTATCATTTAACATTTTATATTTTTTAAAAATATAATGATGTATATTTTTATAGTTTGTTAGTTTACTTTTGTACATGGATTAATTGTTGGACCAACTGAAAAACCAGATTTTTAACCATGTCTTTCTAATAAAACTCTGTTTACAAAAAAAGATTTTCCTGTTCGATATTTGCCTACTATCGATACTACAGCTAATTTTTTGTTAGGATTTAATTATTTTAGGTATTCTTCAGCTTCTGGATTTAGTTTAAAACCGTAATTTTATTAATAAATAATAAATGGTATAGCTTGGTCGGATTTTTCTTTATGCATTATTTTTTATTACGTTTTTTTTTAAATATATATATATATTTTTTTTGGAAGGATTATATTATTTTTAAAATTTATATATTTTTTTTTAAATATATGTATAATAATTTTTTTTTTTTTTTTTTGTAATAATTATAAATTTTTTATTATATTTTTTTAAAAAGGTAATTTTTATTTAATATGTTTATACTTTTATATTGCTTTTTTTTTTACTTTAGATAAATAAGAAAAAATAAAAACATAATTTCCATTATTAATCTACATAGCATATAGCTCAGGACTTTTAAAATAAAATAAAAAAAATCATATTTTTAAATACATAAATAAAATGATATAAAATATATATTTAAACTATTTTAATTTTTATAAATCTTATAATTTAAAATTAAAATGTTATAAAAATTAAAAAAATAAATATGTATATAAAATAAAATAAATAAATGAATTAATAAAATAAAATAAAATAAAATAAGTTATAATAAAATAAAAAAGATAATATTATATTATTTAAAATAAAATGAATTATTATACAAATAAACCTATACACTTTAAAAAAATAAAATAAAAATCTAAATAAAAAAAAATAAAAAAAAACTAATAATTTATAAATATAATAAAATGTCTGGAATATCTGGTATTTTCATTCTCAATAACAAAGGAATAGTAATAATCCAACGAATATACCGTTCCGACCTTTCTTCAGACTCAGTCGAGACATTCAACAAGCTTTTAATCGATAAACAAGAAGACTTAATCCCTAATCCCATAATATATGATCCAAAAGACCACCAAACATACATATTCAAGCACTATAATAATATAACAATCCTCGCCATATCAAAAAAGAATGTCAATACAATGATGATAATAACTTTTATATATTAACTAATCGATATATTCATATATTATTTCAAATTACTTGAAGAAGAGTCTATACGCGACAATTTTGTAGTTATATACGAGCTTTTAGACGAAATAATGGACAATGGATTTCCGCAAACAACTGACTTCAAAATTCTCGGCGATTTCATCAAGACTGAATCGCATTAATTATTAAAAAGTCCCATACATTCGAATGACTTAAATTTATCAAAAATCGCCACTTTATCAACATCAGCAATAACATGGAGAAAAGACGATATTAAATATAAGAAAAACGAAATCTACCTAGACGTAATCGAAAAACTAAATATGTTAATAAGCAAAAACGGTAGTGTAATTGAAGCCGAAACAATCGGTTCTGTAATAACCAATTGTATGTTATCAGGCTTACCAGAATGTCTTTTATGTATAAACGATAAAGAATACTTCGAAAGTAATTCCCATAATTTTACTGCGAATATAGAAAAAACAATTTCTTTTGACGATCTTAAATTTCATTAATGCGTTAGACTTTCAACTTTTTAAAATGAAAGAATAATTTCCTTTATACCTCCTGATGGTAAATTCGAGCTTATTTCATATAGAATTCCAGTATAAATAAGTGCACTTTTTAGTGTTGATGTAATAATTAATACATAAAATAAATCAAGAATTGAATACATAGTAAAAGCAAAGTCTAATTTTAAATAAAAATGCACTGCAAATAATGTAAATTTTTATATTCCAGTGCCAGAAGATGCACAAAAACCATAATTTATAACTTAAATTGGAAAATAAGTATGGGCTCCAGAAAAAGAATGTATAAAATGGAGTTTTAAAACTTTTGAAGGCCTTTAAGAATATATTATGAATTGTACATTTTAATTACCAAGCGTATAATCTGAAAATAGAAATAATTTTAAAAATAAACCAATATAAGTAGAGTTTGAAATACCATTTTTTACTATTACAGGAATAAAAGTAAAATATATAAAAATTTAAGAAAAAAGTGGTTATAAAGCATAAAATTGGATATAATATATAACAAAAAATTAAAATTATTAAATTAGAATGAAATGAAATAATAATAATATGTATAATAAAAATATAATTAAAAATTTAATAATTATATATTTATTTATTTATTATTTATTTATTTATTTATTTATTTATTTATTTATATTTAATTTATTATAAATATATTATTTAATATATAATTAATTATCTTAATATTTATTTAATTTTTTTTTTTTTTTTTATTTTTATAATATTTTTTAATTTTAAATATTATATTAATTAATATTTTTTATATTTTATTTATTATTTTTTATTTTATAATTTTTTTTTTTTTTTTTTATATTTTATGATAAATATTATAATTATTAGATTTATAATATCATATAAATATTTATAATATTTTTTTTTTTTAATATTATATCTTTACTTTATTTTATATTTTTCAATTTTTTTTTTATTTAATATTTTATATTCTTTTTAAAAACGTCAATTTATTTTAAATATTTTTTTAAATATTAATATAATCAATTTTATTTTATATCTTAAAAAACACTATTATTAAGGAAAAAATAAACTTTTTTTAAAAAAAATTAAAAATTAGCAAATAAAATAAATGAACAAATTTATATTATTTTTTTCATTCTTTATAATTATTTTTTGTGTTTAAAAAGACTTGCCCTAAAATACTTAAGAATCTTAAAAAAAAAAATGTCCTGATAATTGTGTTGTATTTTATAGTGAATGTAATTTCTAAGGTGAATCTTATAAGCTATGTTAAAGTTCTTAAAAAGAAAAAAGAGTTCTTTACAAAAGCGTTTTTGTACCTGAAAATATTATTGCTAAAGTTTACTCAAAAAGCAGTTACAAAGGAGATGTGGTATTATATGACAAATCAGTTTAATGCGATAATAATGGCATTTTCCTTTTATCTTATTCTGAGAATAATTAAAATAATCATTTGTCTGTATAAATCAGTCAAAGAAAAGTTTATTTAAAAAAATAGGAATGATGAATTTGATAATTTACATATTTTTATTAATATTTTATTATATATAATAAAAATATATATTAAATTTTTTATTATTTATCTGATTTTATTTTATAAACCATTTTTAAAAAATATTAAGTATATATAAATAATATTTTTTATATTTATATTTTAAATTTTTTATTATATTTTTTTAAAAAAACATTAAAATTTCCTTATGCTTTAAAACATTTTTAATTAATATAATTTAAAAGATAAAATAGTAAATAAAAATATATAAATAATTTAATAAATATAATTTTATATAAAATAAATATATATATTTTTTAAAAAAACTTATTTAATATATTATTTTAATTATTATGTTGTATTAAAGTACTAATTAATATTTTTTTTTTTCATTTTTTAATAAAATAATAAAAAAAAGATAAAATATAAAAAACATACACATGAATTAATGAAACAACATATATTTATTTGTTATTTATTGATAAAAAAATAAAAATTCAAATTTATAATTTTATAATAAATAATTAATTTATTTTAATAGCAAATATATGCTTTTACCAACAAAAAGATTTTTAGTTTTTTTAGAATTAAATTTTTTATAATAAAAATTAATTAGGCATTTATTTTTAGTTTTTTAAACTTGTTTAAAATATTTATTTTTTTAATTATTGTTAAATTTTATATATATTAAATTTTAAGATAATTTTTATTATTTGACTTGTAAATAAGAAAAAATAATTTTATTTTAATTATGATATAAATAATAGATTATAGTAATTCTTAAAATTTTATATTTTAAATAAGTAAATTTAATAATTTATTATAGTTAAAAAGTTTTAATGAATATAATTTTAGTAAAATTTAAATTTTAATATCTTAATTAATTTGGAATACGAAATAAATAAAAATTTTTAAATTTTTGCTATTTAAAATTTTGAAAAAAAGACATTAATAAATAGAATTAAATAATTTTCAAAATTTTGACTAAAAGATATTGTATTGATCTTATTAATAATATTTGAACCAACTTTAAATATATATTTAAAAATGAATTATACTAATAAATAATTTCATTTAAAAAACTTAGTTTTTACATAAAAAGAAATAATTCAACCATACTATTATTTTTATAATAAACTATCTAACAAATAAAGATTATCTAAGGATTGTCTAAATTTCGGAAAAATATTTTATTTACAAAAAAAGAAAATAAAAACATTATGTAGGTATATTTTTTTATAAAAACATTTAGTAAATAAAATAAATTTATCAATAAACTAGTCAGCTTATTTCTCGAATAAAAAAATTATATGTAAAAGTATATCAGATTTATTTTATTTTATTAAATTATGTTTAGGAATATATAGAGTTTAAAATCCTAATATCTCGTTTATTAAAGTTATGTTTTTTCAAATTATTAATTAAGGCTTCGTATTATTATTTTAAAAATATTAAAAATAGATTAAGCATAATTATTTTTTGCCTTTATAATAATTATTTTAGTAAAGAAAGTAGAATTTTTGATTGTATTAAATTTAAGAGGTACATTATTAATTATAATAAATACTAAATTCAAGTCTTATATTATTTAAAATAAAATTAATAATTAAATTTTATGAAATATTTATTATATTATCTTCATATATAATAAAGCTTAATTGTTTAATTTTCTTTATTTATATATAAAAAACTCTGTTAATTTTATTTTATTATTAAATAAAATTATACTTAATTTATAATAATAATTAAAATTAATTTATAAAATAAAAAAAAACTTTTATATATTATTATGAATAAATAATTTTTTGTTTTTTAAAAAAATAATAATTTGAACAAAAAAATAAGAATTTTTTTTTATGATGCCTACACTTATTTATAAATATTAAATATATAAATAAACAAAAAAAATATTTAATAATAATTTATTAGATATAAATTAAAAATACTTATTATAAATATATTAATGTTAAACTAAATATAAGTAAAAAATAATGTTTTCGTCAAAAATAAAAATAAAATATACATATAATTATATACATGTATATTTTTTCTCATTTTATTTCTCAAGATTTCACATATTTAAAGTATTCATTTTTTATAATAATATATATATAATAATATTTCTAGTTTAATAAAATCAACTTTTTCCTCCTTCTTCTTATTCTTTGTAATAATCTGCTGAATCAAAAACTTTTTTCTTTATTTTTATATTTTAATAGAAAAAATTATTTAATTTTTATTTTTACTTCCTTATCTTATTTTACAAGAGGTTTTTTCTTTCCCATTTTTTTCAATTTCTCTTCCATTAAAGCAGCTTGTCTAGCCATTTCATCTTGATCCTTTTGTAAATAAATAATATATCTAAGGATAAATTAATTTTTTAAAAAAAACCATTTTTATTTATTTATCTAGAATTTTTTTTTGTATTTTATTTTTATTTCAAAAATTATTTATATTATTATATATTTTTTTTTACTTACTATTCTTATAATTAGAAAAAATTTTATATGTTTAATTAATATTTTTCTTTAAAATTTTATTTTATTTTTAAAATGTAATTTATTTAAATATAATTTCCTTTTCAATATATATTAATAAATTTAAAAAATAAAAAATTATTTATTAATTTAATTTTTATTTTAAAAATTAAATTTAAAATATAAATATATATTTAATCTATTTAAAACTTTTAGCTCATTTTAATATTGTTTTCTATTTTTTCATCTTTTAAAAATAAAGAGTAAAATTTATATTATCAAACGACCTTTTAATATATTATACAAAGATAATTTATATTTAACTTTAATTAAATATAAAATAAAATGAAAGATTAAATCCAAATCAAATTTAACATAATAATTATAGTCGTTTATTTCCTAAAATTATAAATTTTTAATAGTTTAATCAACTTTTTTAAGCTAAAAATGATTAATAATTATATATTCTACAAAATAATAAATAAAACATTATTATATATAATAGATTAATATAATCTTAATTAATAAACATTATTAAAAATAATTTAATAATTAAAAATAAAAATTCTCGTTTCTTATAGTAAAAATTAAATAAAGTAAAATAGATAAAATATAAAACAAAATATTTATAAAATAATACACTAAATAATTAACTATATAAGTATAGAAATAAATTAACATGAATTTCATATCTAAAATAATTTAGGATAAATTAATTAACAGCTATAATAAATCTATTAATAATCCAAATCTTATTTTCGAAGTTTTATTCTTCCATTTCTATGAAGAATATTTAAAATTATATGAATATAACTATTTTATTTTTTAATTATTTTATATCGCATTTAATTTAGTTTTCCTTATTTTTTATCAATAAATAATTTATAACTTATGAATTTTTAATATATTTTTTTAATGAAATTGTATTAAATAAATAAAAATTATTGATTTTAAAACAAAAATTTCAAAATACTATATTAATATTAAAAAGCTATTTAACTTTTTAAATTTAACATGTATTAGATATTTTATTAATTAATAAATATAAATAGTAGTAAAATAATTTCTAAAATATTAAAATAATCAAAAATTAAATAATAGAAAAAATTAAACTTTCAAAAAATTATATTTTTAACTAAAAAACAAAAAACACGCTTAAAAAATATTTTATAAAAAAAATATTATCCAAAAAATAATTATAAAAGCTGAAATTTCACAAAATTTTTAGTTATTAAATGAAATATATTAATTTATAAATTATCTATAAAATAATAATTAAAAACATTTTATATATTATTATAAAAATAATATATACATTATATTAATATTTTATTTAATATTTATGTACTAATCTAATTTAAATATTAATAAAAAATACTAATAATATTTTATAATACAAAAAATCAATTATAATTTATAAAAAATAAAACATAAAACATATAGTAATATTTAATATAAAAATATAAAAGTTAAAAAAAAGAATAAATATAAAAACAAAATTATAATAAGATATAAAAGAATTTTATATTATAATATTCGAAATAAAAAAAAATTATAAATTTTAAATTAAAAAATGCTATAAATTGATAAATATCTTAAAATAAAAAAATAATAAAAAATTTTATAAAAATATATAATTTCAAATTAAATTAATTGTTAAAATATATTAAATAAAAAGTTTTACAAAAATATTAAAGTAAACAAACTAAATTTTAAATAAATATTAAAATAAAAATATTATATAAAAAAAATATTAAGAATAAAAGCACATTGTATTTTGATAAATGGATTTTTATATTATTAATATAAATAAATATATAAGTAAAATTTTAGAAAATACGTAAAAAATTTTTAAAATAAAATTTTTAAATATATTATCATTATATTATTATTATTATTATTATTATTATTATTATTATTATTATTATATAAATTATATAAATTATATAAATTATATATATATCTTTTTTTTTATAATCTTTTCTAAAATTTTTTTTTTTTTTTATTTATATTTTTAATATATTTAAATATATTTAAACTTATTTATTATATTGAATAACATATGTACTATAAATATTTTTAGATATAATAAGTTTCAATAATATTTTTTTTTATTTATTATAATATCATTTATATATAAAATTTATTTTGTTACATAATTATATTTTAAATTAAGATGTTTATTGTATTTTTTTTTATATAAATTTTAAAGATATTTTGTTCTCCCTATATTTTATTTAATTTTAAATAATTATAATAAATATATTTTATTATTTTTACTGAAATAATTTCTTTATATATATATATATATATATATATATATCATAATTATAAATATTTTAATATTTATACTCAAAATTATTTTCAAATACATTTTAATATTATAATTTGAAATATTTATATTATAAGTCTTATATTAATATTATTATATTTCCTATTTTAATTATTTAAAATTATATTATTCTAGTATATTCGAAATATTTCTAATTTTATCTTCTATTTGATTTTTTCATTATTAATATTTAAATCCTTAGAAAAATTAATTTTTTTTTACAATATATTATTTATTTTTCGGATTTTACTTTTAAAGTTATTATACGGATACAAAATTAAAATAAATAAAATTTAAATGAAAACTAATACAAAAAAATAATATATTGTTATTAGTATAGAATGTAAAATGTGGAATAATATAATAGAAATATATAAAATTAAGGAATTTAAATATAATAAAATGTATTGTTATTTTTATATTTTCTTTTATTAATAATTATTCTTTCATTTCAAAATATTTCTTATATTTTTATAATTTGTTGTTTACTAATATATGGCAAAAAAAAAAATTAATATTAAAGTTTAAAGAATTTTAATAATATTTAAAATTAATAAAATAATATTAATTTAAAAAATATAATTTATAAGCTATTCGATTTTTTGATTGATTAATATTTAATTATTTAATATTATTTCTTAAAAATATAAATAAATTAGTTTAATAAATAACTAAAACAATATAAATTAAATACATTTTAGTCAAAAAATATTGGTTTATAAAGAAATGAATAGCAAATATATTAAATTAGTGAAATTATAAAAACAACATAAAAAAGTACATATGATTATATTTTCACATTAAAAAAACAATAAAAAATAAAAAAGTAATAAAAAAACATAATAAATTAAAAAATATATTACTAAAAGGCACAAAAAAATATCACACAAATGTAAAGTAAACTAAAAATAGTTGATGGATACGTATGGGATAACGAATGCTTATTAGGCGAAGGTGCATTTGGTAAAGTATACAAATGTCAAAAACAAAATAAATAATTCGCCGTTAAAGTAATAAAAAAGACAACCCTATAAACGTCTTAAATACAATTAGAAACATTAGAAAATGAAATAGAAGTCATGAAAAAGTTTACGAAATCAAATAATATTTTAAAATATATATCCCATTATTCTGACGATTAAAACTATTATATTTTTACCGAATATTGCGAAGGAGGAAATCTCCGTACTTATATACAAAGACGAGGTGGTTATTTATAAGAAAATTAATCAATTGAAATATTAAATCAATTAATAAACGGATTCAAAGATTTAATCAAGAATGGATACCTACATCGAGATATAAAACTAGAAAACTGCCTAATTAAATAAAACACTTTTATATTATCAGATTTTGGCCTTGCTACTAAATACGACCTTAAAGGATATAAATTAATTAAACAACAAGTTGGAACTCCCCTATATATGTCCCCTTAATTATTAGAGAATTATCCATATACTACTAAGGGTGATATATGGTCTTTAGGAATGCTTTTTTATGAAATGTTATTTGGGAAAACGTTAAAAAAAAAAACTAAATTATAAAAAAACTATAAAAATACAATTTTATATATATTTATAGTCCTTGGAATTGTAAAAATTTGAGTTCTTTTTTATATGAAATTAAAAATAAGCCTCTTTTGTTTCCTTTAAATATACCAATAAAATAAGAAACAAGAGATTTTTTAATGAAATGTCTTTCAATAGATGAAGGCAGAAGAATGACTTGGGAAGAAATATTTTCACATGAAATGATATAAAGTTAAAGAAAGAAAATAAAGTTAGATGAAAAAAGCAAATCAATATTATTTGATTTGCAAAAAATAGTTTTTTTTAATAAAATAAATATAAAAAAAATCCTTTTTGATAAATAAAAAAATTTGATTTTTTAGATAAATCAAGCTTTTTTGAATTTCTAAAATAAATAGATCATATAATTTCTGAAAAAAATTCCAACTTTCTTTTTCAAGCAATTTCATAGCAAAATTAAACAATTTTAATTTCAAATATATTAGATATTTTTAGTAAAAATTATAAATAAAATAAGCATAATAATAAAAATAATAAAATAGAATTGATTTTGAAAGATATTAAAGCTATAATTAATAATCAAAATGTTAATTTATAATAAATATTCACTGATTTTGTCAAAAAAGGCGAAACATCTTTTAATTTGGAACAGTTTTCAAATTTGATCCATATAATAATACCTTAAATTAAAAGGCAAGATATTAAAAATTGCTTCAATGAATTCGACTTAAATAAAAATGGTAAAATTTCATTAGAAGAGTTTAAGGAAATTCTTCAATCAGAAAAGGAAATCAAATAAAAAAATAATGAATATTCTCTAATAGGGTATTTAAAGGAGTTTTGCTAAAAGAACAATATAAATACAAGTATAATGTATAAAAATATAAATACAAGTAAAGATAATTAAGTGGATATTTAATAATTTTCGAAATTTTTAAAAATTTTAAACCAAAATTAGCAGCTTTAATGTCAAATCGATTAAGTTTTTAATATTTTTGATAAAAATTAAGATGGAAATATTTCTCTATAGGAATTTAATTTTATTTTGAAATGAATTTTTGTAATTTTTCTTTTTTTAAAAAAAAATAGATTTTAATTTAATTTAAATTAAAAATAAAAAAATATTATATTGTGTTAATAATAATATATTTATATTTAATAAGTTACTTTTAAACTAATAAAAAATGATTTGAAAAATATATTTAAATAGATTGTATTTTTTTAAAGTTTTTATGATTTCATCTTAATTTTAATTAAAATAAAAATATAAAAAAGTTTAATTTTATATAAATTTATATTTTAATATGAGATTGTTTATAATATTAAATATAATTTGTTAGTTTAATCATTTTTAAATTCAGTAAATAAAAAAATAAAATAAAATATATATTAAAAAATAAATATATTTTTAATTATGATATGAAAAATTCTTTTGAATGTTTTAAAATTTTAAATCTATAAAAAAAAAATATATAAATAAAAAAATTCTTAAATATCAAAAAAATAATTAAGTAAAAAAGAATGAACATAAATTTTTTAAAATAAAAATATTTATAAAATATATACAATAAAAATAAAAATTTAAATATATAAAAATTAATATTATATAATTAAATTATAAAAAATATATTTATATTAAAATTGAATAAAAAATTAAAAAAAAAAAATTAAAAATTATATATTTATTTTTTTTAAAATTAAAAAAAATTTATATAAAAATTAAAATATTTTTTTTATTATAAATATTAAAAAGATTAAT